CAAGACTATTCCGTTTCCCAAAAAGAAATAACGTTTTCAATAAAGGATAGAAGTTACATGGAAACAGACACTTATTTGCAGACCTCGAAGCTTCACACTAGCGAACCGATGCCGAAATGTTATAAATATTATAATTTCATTAAAAATTTCTTTAAGTGCTAGCTTAAGATTTTTCTGAGATTTCTGGGCATGTTGTAAATGAAAAAAGGGTGAACAAAATTTTGCAATGACAGACGATATATGTATTCTCTATAACTAAATCGAAGAAATTTATTCGCCAGAATATAGCAGTCATACAAATTGACCGATCAATACCAAGTTTTTGTATGGGAAATTTTTATTTTTATTTTTATTTTTATTTGAGAAGGGAAATATAGCTTCGACGCAGACGAAGTTAATTCTTAACAGAGACGAGCTTGGGACCGTTAAAGGCGACTACCTGCTAGATAAAGGACAGCGTCTCTGAGTGAAGATCCAAAAGAACATGTAAATCGGATATTGTTCCGGGTGGGTCACTGCTTGGGGCGACGAAAACGGCCTTAGGACAGTAAGCAAGTAAAGTTCGGCAGAAGGCAGCCAATTGGAAATATGATTGAGGCAAGAGACAAAACCGCCAGCATTTGTACAATAAATGCAAGGAACCTGAAATTGGACCGACTGATCAGGAATCTGATCATACCAGCATACTGGGGTCGGGTAAAAGTGTAATGATCAGTAATGAGCAGCTGCGGACTTGGAAGGGTCTCTAGCTCCCAGCCGAAAACTCTAACAAGTATGGAGTGGTGTTGATGCGCAAGATCCTTCAAATTAGTGTCATTCGAGATTGTCTGCAGCTCCAAAACGAGTAAATTTCTGCACCTAATTCCAGTAACCAGGATGTCCTGACTACTAAGCGGGAAGGCAACGCTGGAGAACTACCGACAGAGCTGAATATGTAATGGAAGCCTCAACTCAGTACAATTCCGCTGACTTCCCTACTCAGTAAGCGTTGTCAGTGGGAAAACTTGTATAAATATATAAAACTAAATAAGAAAACAAACTGACAGTAAAGTGTTGACACTGAATATTAAGTGTATATTAAGTTTGACAGAAGGAAACGTCGTAGACCCGAAAAAATTTATATACATATATATGTATATGTATAAAAGACATTATATATATAAATGATCAGCATGAGGAGTGGAGTTGATTTAGTGATGTGTCAGGTCCATTTGTCTGCATATACGGGAATCAGAGCCTCAGATTTTGAGATCTATCTGAAATTTTGCATACCTCCTACTGTCCCCAAGAATATTCTTATTTGTGGGAACCGCTGTTATCATACCATTATAAAATATATAGCTGCTATACAAACTGAGCAAGCGGAATCAAGTATTTGTGTGGAAAACTTTTTCATTTGAAAAGATATCTAGATATCTTTGCGAATTTGGGCATGAACTATTGTCTGAGGCAACGGTGCGGTTGTGAAGGGTTCTCTGCAATCGAAAGTAAAGGTTTTTTCTTGTTTTTATTTTTTCTAAAGGTGTGAAATGATTAAATAAAACGCACAATCCATCATAAACAAATCAACTCAATTAATTTATTTTTCATTAAATATTTAATCGGTTCTTACAATAAGCAGCCGCCATAACCACTTTCCAAATCACTTGTGCTTTTATTAGTTTTAAATTTCAGTAGTCAAATCTTATTTCACTCGTCTCCTCACAACGCTCCGCATTCTCAACTGAACTGACATAGTTGATTGCAATTTTATCAAAACACTCCAAATATACATTTACATAAGCACATATGTATGTAGGTACACACGTATTAATCAATGTACTCTCCATGTGTGCGAGCATGTATGTTGTATGTATTTATAAGTAGTAAGTGTTTGTATGTATGTAGAATATAACAACACTTAATTTATTTTTTATACAATACAACAATAATAACTTAATCACCGATTTACATACATATATTTCGTCAAATCCGTTCGGCTTCTTCAAAATAGATAGTAAGTGCATACATACGAGTATGTGTGTATGTACTAAGTGAGATTATTAATTAACGCATTAACGCATTAACGCATCGCCTGTCATTACATTACTTCTTATTAAATATAATAATACCAACTAATTACATTACAAATACACAAAATGAATGCAATAAATTCACATCGAAAATATCAAATATTTATTATTATTTTTTACGGTATTTCTCCAGTTTGTATATTGTATATCGGTTTAACGGTAAATTCAAATCGTCTGTTGCTGCAGAAAACCGCCATTTGTACATAATATCTACATATATTCAAATGTGTGTAGCTCAAAGCACATATGTGCACTCTTATATACATCTCTTATATACATACATATGTAATAATGCATGTGTGTATGGATATATTGTTGTTTACTGTTGTTGGTGTAAGTACTCCATATAATGCTTAAAGTTGTATGTGTATTGAGAGTTTGAAAGCTCAAGCCAATACCGTTAGCAATGCAAGTGATAGCGGACACAAAAGTTCAGATATGTATGCACATACATATGTATGTACGAGCAAGCACTGAGGTTATCAAAGCAAATGAAGAGAGGCTCGAGTTAGCAGGTAAATATGCTTTAGAAAAACGTCTAGATAGGCATTTGTATATACAGTGAAGTAATAAATAAGAAAATAGCTTTTTATAGTGAAGTGAGATTTTCGATTTCGAATACGAAATATAAGTACAAACATATATAACTACTTCGAAACTGCTTTTGAACTTTGCCTCACACGAGAATCCTTAAGCAAGTGTTTTTACCATTAAAAATTACAAATTTACATACATGCGTACTTAATTAATACAATTTACAATACAATTTTATATAATTATTTGCTTAGGATTTATTTAATTATTTATTTATTTTTTTTTGCAAGTCTTTGCTCGTTTAAATTTGCATTTATGTTGTTATTTCTTTACATTAAGTCTTAAAAGTTCCAATAAAATGATGATATCAAATGTATGCTTCATAGAAAATTAGAAAACAACCGTTTATTTTTGTATAAGAAACTTTAAATATTTTAAAATATTTTCTTTCGCTCCGCTGTGGCCTCAATTTACAACTGTTTGTATTTATTTGTATATTTACATATATATTCATCTTGATACCGGTAAAATATCGATCCAATAAATGTTATTTAAGATTTAACGGTTTGTTTAATATTGTTGTTTTATTTGCTGTTTTTTAGCTTGTTGGATTAAGATTCAGCAGCAAAGGTATTTGTTTAAACATTTATGCATTTAACTCGTTAAGTTTACATTGATTTACGAATGTGTTTTTTAGTACTTTAATTTAATTGTTCAATTTAAGATTACGTTAATGTTAACCAACTTCAATATATTAATGTTTTATACTAAATTCTTTACTTTTTTCTATTAACATATGTAAATTGTCTGTCCATATACATATGTATGTATGTATGTTTTTTAGTAGTTCTAAAGATACGGGAGATGAACACAAACATGACGGGGATAACGGGTGTTTCAACATAACAGACAACCCAGCTGGACCACAACAACTGCGACGTTGCCGAACAGACAAAACATAATATTGCAATAATTCGAATGTTTTTTTGTTTTTAACTTGGACAGCAGGTTTACCTCTTGTTAAAGGAAACTTGTCGTAAAACCCAATCTGAATACATAACCGAAGAATTCGACGTGAACTTAACTTCTTTGAAACAGCTAGTTATGTGCTGAAAAAGATTTCGAATACTTGCGAAAGCATCATTTTTAAAAAAGAAGAGATCTAGCCTCGCTATTACAATAACAACTTTTCGGCACAGCTTCCTGCCGACGAAAAGCCAGAGATAGCAGAGTTCAGTGCCAACTAGTTTGAGGTTTATAGTTTCGTTGAAAGGATTTTAAGTTCTATGGTAATCTAAGTGAACTGGATGTCGGTGGCGGTGGATCGATCTTCAACTAGTATGGATAGTCGATGAGGATCATTGAGCGCTTCCGGAACTGCTAAGAATCTAAATGCAACTAAATGGATAATTGTGGTATAATTAATAATCTCAGAAACAAGCATAACATATTGAACATAGGAACATAACATAACAGTCAGCGAAAGGCATTTCTGGTGAGTGTTGTAAATTTTCTAGTTTCTTGTAAGTGGAAGACTTGCAACACAAACTTTTGCGATTGTCCAGTTACTGAAGTGCCTTAGTATTATCCCGTATATTTAAGTATTTATATTTACAAGTTATTAAAAAAAATTGTACACGACAACATAGCCAAAATAAGTGAACTCTTACAATAAAATACAAATTAATTCCTAATTACAAATGTGAACTACAAAAAAAAATTAAATAATCACTATAAGTGAAATCCAGCATTTAAGAGAGTATGCTTAAGTATTTGTGTGTGTGTGCACGTACAGACAAACACGAAATTGAAAGCATCCCCTTGGCACAGAATTTATCAAATTTTTCGCAGATTCTTTTATTATATTTCTCCGAACAACGCAACAGGCTTCAATTCAGCTAAATGAATATGTATTGTATAAATTATTTGTAATTTATCAAAAAATTAACTTTACATTTAGCAAAAATGTTGCACCGACCCTTAACCTTTATAAAAGTGGTTCGGTTTTCAGTTCCAAAAGTTGTGGAAAAAGGAAAAAAGTGGTTTGGGTTACAAATCTCGACCCGTCACTGGTTACAGACAGAAAGGCGACCTTTAGACATTTAGACTTGCGGCTAACACTCAACAACTTAGTTTTATAAAAGCAAATACAACTACTTTTGATTTTTGTTTTCGAAATCTTATGTATGTATCTCACACCACGCCCAGTTTAGTCAAGCTTGCTTTGCAATTTCGCACTGAATCACGCATGTCAATTTCGAAGCTTGAGCTCCTTAACACTCCTTATATAAGCTATACATAACATTTCCCTAGAAAACTTAATTTTGGAAGAGTTCTGTTATTACAGTTTTATTAACTTTAACTTTACAGCTTCAATGATGATAACCTTCTATATAATTTATGTATATAATTATTTAATATTTTATTTTAATCAATTACCAGTATAATTTGTTATTAGTTTCAGCTTAGTTAATGTTTATTGTAAATAGTGCTTAAATAGTAGATTTATTTAATTATTGTTCAATCGGTTCAAATATATATTTTCGGGACTCTGCAGTTGCGCCCATTAAATATAATTTTCTAGGTATGTATGTTTGTTTGTGTTTGCTCTCAATTAATTTGTTTGTAAGTAGTATGTATACAGTTATTATGTACTATATTCATACATATGTATATATAATTTATACATTCTGCTACGTTTTTAAGTTGCTTAATATACAACAAAGATTGTTTTTGTTTCTCTTTTTGTTTTAGTTTCTCGCACAAGCCCCACAAGTTGGAGCTGTCCGAGCTGATTTGTCTAAATCCAATTCATACAAATATGCGTACGTTTGTTTAGATACATATGTATATATGTACATCAATTGGTGTATGCCTGGATATATGTACATATACATATGTATGTAATTGTTTGAAATTTGATAATTTACAATTGTTATAGCAAAGGAAACACATTTTGGCACATTATTCAGTTTCAGTTCAATAAAATTTATTATTTCCGCTTTTTGCAGGTTTCATTTGCCCTTTTTGCATGTACACACGTATGTGTGTGCTTGCGTGTGCGCAAGTATTTAACAGTTCTTCCATATAAAAGTGTGTGCGGTAATTTAGTCTACAAATATAATTAAAATATGTGTGTGTATGTATGCAAGTAATAGTAAATATCTATATGTATCTATATGTATAGGAATATTGTTCTTAACCTTATTTTTAAGTATGTATGTATGTATTGCAGCCATGAACGAGTATGTTGTAAACAGCTGTTTAGAATGGAGCAAAGAGGTTTAGATTTTTGGCAAATTTTCCAATTTTGTGAATAAACACTTCACAATCACCATTTGCCTGTATACATATGTACATACGCATACATATGCATATATATATAGTATATAAATGTTAGTATGTATGAAGGTACACACGATTTCAAATAAAGCGTGTTGCACGATCGCCTTTCGAATTGTTATCGTTTGAATTCGACACATGAGACGAAAGTGCCGCCCACGATAGACGCCAAGGGTTATATGTATATAGGTGAGTTTCTCAGCAATTGTAATCTCAGTGATCAGACTAAATTCCAACAGTCAACTGTCGATCTCACGTTTCCATTTTCGCACATTCGCGCACTTTTCCCGCCAAAACGGTAAACAAAAAAGTTTAAGTTCTCTCACAAAATATTTCTCTCTCGAAATGGCAAATCATAAATTGTCCATGCACATTCACACTCAAGAACTTCGTCAATTTGCGTGTTTATTTGTGTGTTTGTTTTGGGGGTTGTGTTTATCCTTATGTAGTGAACGGTCGGGTCCCGCGAAGCTTGTTGCGCAATATAAAATCGCACCTGTTTTGTGAGAATCGCTCGTCGCTGCAACGTCGCATTTTAGATGCTCGTGCTGGTGTGTCGATTGATTCCACGCTTTCGCCGGTATCCGCCCGGACTACGCTGCCACCACTAGTTGTTGTTTTTCCACCGTGAAAGCAATTCCTTCCAACGGTTCTTGCGTCGCCTACTTCAAATTTGCCATATCAGTAAATGATTGGTGCTGTCTTCGCGGCCGGCGATTTCACTTAACGAATTTGCACCCGAATTACGGAAGTCCTCGTATCCATCACCGCCGGATATCACTAGTATCGTACTCGATTCCGCTTTCGGTTTCATATGCTTCGTGGAACTGTAAGCAGATTTGTATAAGCATAGTAGAAGATAGTTAAATGCCAAAGCGCATACCTATGACTCCTGTATTCATTGTTGCTAATAGCGCTATCGTTATCTCGTCCCGTAGACCCTGTACTGCTGCCGCTGCCTTCTGCACTGAGACCACTCGTCTCCACGAATGTCAGGAAACGCACATGACCGGTGTGGCCGTGTGGAATGCCAGTGGGCACTACAGTTTGTACGCCCTTCTCGAAGCCTTGCGCTGGTATGGTGAGCAACACGCCTGCACTGGTGCCAATCCAAATGAGATCGCGGCAGGACAGCAGCGAGGTGACACGCAAACAGGCGGCCTTGTGCTGGCGTATAATCTCATCACAATTCGAGAGCATTTTATTCACAGCTGGCGCTAAGTTAACTTCAGCTATTAACTGATGGCTGAAATATCAGAATTTATTATTTATTATATTTTCTAGCAAAATAATTTACAATTATTGAAAACAAGTTTCAATATTTGAGCTAAAGTCGATTAAACGGTCCTAAAAATGCTACAGTAATGATCCGGATTTTACCGCAACCTGAAAGGCTCAACTAATGAAATATATGGAAAAGTGGACTGAAGTAAACTAAGTCGTAAATTCTTATATATTACATTTATAAATGACAACTACAGGTCTTCATAAGTATCGGTACTTGTTTTCTTGAACGATACGAGCACCATGTCTTGTTATATCTTTAAGTTGCTGCTCAGCTGTCTTTATCAACCACATTTTTCGGTCATTCAAAATCACTTTGTCAGTTTTTTAAGGTTTTTTCGGTCAACACATATGGTCGTTGCCTACGCATCAGTTGAATTTTTCACAAAATTCCTTTTTATCAAGTTTTTCAAAAAAACCAAAATTTTCATTTCTCAAAATGTTATTTCTAAAATGTATAATCGATTCGTTTAAAGGCAATAACTGTGAAATTTGAAAAAATATAATATTAGCACAAATCCGGTAATAGCTAATCAGTTGAAGAGCCTACTCAGAAAGATTTGAGACTGATTCAACAGGCTTTTCAAAGGCAAAAGAGTTGACATACTCGGATATCCAGGAATGAAATAATAAGGGACAACTTATAGTAAAAAGAATATTACTTTTAATAATTAAAATGGCGATACTTTTATTCCAGAAGCAGTATGAATTTCTAACTCTAGAAATCAACTTGAATATCTCTAATCAACCGAAAATTTACTATATTTACTAAATATATTCCCTTATGTATATATAAGTGTATTCATTAACAATTAAATATAACTTCAAATACTTACCTTATGGAATGAAAACACTTGATATGTGCCGAGTTTTGTATCGAAATCCACACGTAATTATTCGACACCGTCATGTTGGTAATAGGTTTCGAATCAGATGAGATTTGTATTTGATTTACCACCTGAAAGTATAAATTGCAACACATTTTCGATTACCTAATATTATAGAAGAGGTTCAGAACCGCCACTCACCAACAAAGTCTCTGTATCTAAAACCTTTATGATGCCTTGTATAGAGCACCATAGTTTTCCGTGCACATTCAGCAACTTCGTAACCGGACTTGTTACAGTACCGATTGAAAGACAATGCGACGAACTGGTATTCCAGACAACTGCATATACAAATTGTAAATGAATTCAAATACAAGATATTGATAAGATTATTCAATAAAGATCATCAAACTAGAACTGGTATGTACTAAAGATATATAGTATGGCAGTTATAAGTTGTTAAGATAGAATTTTTATGTCCAGCAAATGCAAGGGTAACTCACCACCATCACGCAAGTAAACACAAATATCACCATTAGCTAAGGAGACAAAAACCCTATTGTCCAGGTATCTGAAATATATTATATGAATAATTACAAATGAGTTCAGAACCTTCGATCTACTTCGATTTACAATATGGAATACACAGCCGACTGATGTTCGATCTTTATGCGGTTCTTCTTGATGCGTATATTATCGGTGCTATTGTAGACATGAATACAACCGTCTTCCGTGCCGATCCACATTGTTGATAAATTGCCTTCTCCTTCATCCGGATTCGAGTCCTACAAATATTCAAAGAGAATGCCAAATGAGCAACTTGTCGCTTAACAAAAGAGCATACAGGGTGGCTTACTTGATGTGAATGGTGCGATGGCGTGCCACTGTTGCTGCTACCCGGCAATGTCATCGAGGCGATCGTCTGTGTTGACGGCGCCGGACTTGGTACGCGTTCAATTGTGCCGCTGTCAGTGTTGACGGTGCCGCCAACAGAGCCACTGGCGTTCGCTAGAGCTGTGTCGGTTTCGTCATCGCTGGAGCTGAGATTCAAATCCAGTTGGTTGTCACCGCTAGTGTCACCATTTGCACTGTCCTTACCAACGCTGGTGCCAACGGGGTTCACCGCGCCAGATGTCGGTGCCGACGGCGTTTTTTTCTTCTCCGGTGTGCCAATCATTGTGGGCGGCTGGAAGTTCGGAGAAATGCTTTTGCGATAATCACGCAATTGTTGTGTGTAACTGTGCTGCGGTGTGGTGCTGGCGCTGCGTGGGAGCGTTTGCTGTGCCTGTTGTTGCTGCGTTCCACTGCCTGTGGAATTTCTATTGCTCGAATTGTAGGCGGGTACGGAGGCTACACAAAGTATGCGCGCATTACAGACGCCATTGCAGCTAGTGACATTCGGTTCCGGGTAAAGGGACATTATGCAGACTTGGCCCACATAGCCGTCACTGTTACACACCCACACATCTCGCTTTTCGCTGAGCGTTGCTGCAGCGCAAGTGAACTGTAAGCCAGCGCGGGTTTTACGTATCGGTATGGACATCAGAAACTCTGGAATGGGATGTCGCTCGAGAGTAGCAGCTGTGAAAAGTAAAAAAAAGACACTTTAAGTAAAATTTGAAAACGAATGGCATAACACTAAGCTTACCCAACTTCTGTTTGGCTTCATTGAAGGTCTGCTCCCACTGTGTGCGTTTCTCAGCTTTGCTGAAGACGATCGAGAGTTTCTGACTTCCATTCCTAGAGAGAAATTTGCGCGTTAAAATGTATTCAATGTATTCATTGTTTGTTGGCAGCTTACGGTGAGTTAACCAGCAGATCCAGCATATTCAATTGTGTATCATTGGTCTGACGCTCCGATAGCTGACGCTGGACATCTCGCAGTAATTCACGTATGACATCCTCCAGATACTGGTGTGGATACTTGAGTGATGCAGTGACATCGGCGATTTGTTGTAACTTATTACAGTCTTCGGCTAAATTTTCGATTTCGTTCATTATGCGCTTCACATTTTCATCTTTCGCTATTAGTAAAGGGAAAAGAACGTATTAATTATTTCGAATCAAGCTCAATCAAATACTTACTCTTCACGATTTCTAAGCAATCCAGTGAGATCTTGGTAAGGAACTTATATTTGTTGGTATCCAGTGTTGAGGCCACGGTGCCTGGGCAGGTAGAACTGTAAGAAACCATACACATGTATGAGATGTGACTTGATATGCTGAAATCAAACTCACGGGTTGGGTTTTCGTATTGTGCCGCTGCGTTTCTTGATGCTCGTCAACACTAATAGGTCATTAAAGAGAAAGAAACCACGCTCTTTGCGCGCCCCTTGACCCGATGGCATCGAAACCAAATCGAAAAGTAGAAACTGTCGATCGGATGTTATCAGATCTGTTATGCCCTCGATAACGCCCTCAAGTTCACGCAATGTCGCCTCGCGTTGACCATTTTCGAGAATTTCACGCTCTTTACAATTGATATGGACAAGTATATCGTGAACAAGCTTGAGCACATCCTGCAGATGTTTCTGATCGGGATGATCGCGATCGGTGTGTTTTATGAGTCTTTGAAAGAGCATTTCGTAACTGCAAAAGAGAGCGAAAGAGAGCGAAAGAGACAAATATATATCAACTGTAATTAGTTATTAAATCACAAGGAGGGTTTACTTTGGAAATTTCTGCACCGGTTTGATGAGCAAATTGTCCAGGGTCAATTTGCCTTTATGCTCACGTGCAGTGATTTCGAGAAATTTCGCAAACGAGGGTCGCTGATGTTTCGTAGAGCGGATAGCATTCTTGGCACGATTGCAGTTATTCACAAAAGATGTATACACCTCCAAAACCTCCAACTTGGAAAACTGTGGCGATCAATGCAGCAAAACGTTAAATGATTTTCTTGTAAAAACTTTTCACAGCTGTGTAAACGCAACTCACCGTTTCCAGGAAAGCATCGCCAACTTTTTGGTTTGCCTCCCAACTATCCCAACGCGATTTCAACTCAGCCAGAAATTTTTGGTGTATTTCCAGTATGTCGGGTACCATAAAGAATATCTCATCCACGGTGCGAGAATCGATCATGCCAGCATGTTCGGGAGACTTGAGTACCTTAAAATATTTTGAGACGATTGTTTGCAGTGACTCGACATATGACTGTTCATTGCGTAAGATTTCCTGCACCACATGTGTACGTGTGTCCTGAAAGCGAAAGGTTTGCGGCAAAATTAATAAATGTTCATAACAATGCTCAGCTACAAACTCTCTCCAGTTGCATAGACATCAAAAAACATTTTTGGTATTCCACTTACACCATCGTAGTGACCGTAATTCCAACGATTATTAATTTCGAGCTGTGCGCGGCGTTCGGAGTCATCCTCCGAATCCGAGCAGGTGATGGATTGCATTTTCTTCAGCCGTTCGCATTTGTCGTTTTGATGTGCGACAATGACTTTGTTGATTCGATTCACGGCGGTGGTGATGGCTTGATTGGCCATCACTGACATGGTTTGTGAAACACTGACATTATTACTACTACCGTTTGAAGTCGCCGGTGTGTTCTGTTGCAAATCAAGCAAACTGAGCCGCAAACTTTCACGGTTATGAGTCATTTTCAACGCTTACTGATTATGCTTGTTGTTTGTTAAAATATTTTTTACATATATTATTGTATTTGGTATCTAGAGGTTATGTTAAGGTAATATTTTTCACTACTTTGAACTTTTTGTTTATTTTTGTTTTCTTTCTAAACTTGTTAGTTACTATTCACTTTATGTTAGTTATTAACAGCATTTTCTTTTGATGAGCTCTGTGGAATAAGATACGCATGTATTGATCTGCCCTTTCTGAAAGATTTTCGCTAACATTTGGACCATCTCAGATGTGGGGCTGGACATCAAATATTCTACCGATATTAAATTACAATAGGCTGTACCATTTAGTCCCTTGAGCAGCAAAGCCTGACAAACATCTTACCTACATCTCAAGCACTTGTTTGAGAAGTGGACTATTTGCTATGAACTTGTAAGCAGTTTGTCGAAACTGTTATAAACAAATAAGTTCTTATTACACGGACACCAACTTAATGTTCACTTAATGCAGAAGTGACTATGTCAGCCTTTTACCTCAAATCTCTTTATTCGACTAATTCGAAAACTCGGTTACTAAAAGAGTTACCAAGAACTAACGCTCAGCATTTTATGATATACCCCAGTCCCGCTAACCACTTGTGTATCGCAAGCTAAACGGACGTGGCAGCGTGTACCTCAACCGAGCACTGTCCACACTTGACCATTTCCTAAATTTGAATATCGAAATTTAATCTACCGCATCACTCTTATTCCCCCCGCTACTCATTTAGTGTCAGCACAAAACGTTAATATATTATTATCTAACGGTATAGCTTTGACAAACTATTCACTTGGCTGAATATCCCTGATTTCATTACATTCGAACAACTTTTTCTCTGAAAGAAAAATTGAATCTTAAATTTGATAAAATTGTTTATTGTTCTACAATATGTATATCACCCACTTGAAGAGCTTACTCAACGCTTTGGTGCTTATGTGAGCTTTTTTGTGGCAACAAAGCACTCAGGACTCGTGAGAGGTCATCTATTGTTAAGGCTGAAATGCCGTTGCAATTACTTTTATATTTTTACTCCCAGTTATTCCCAGCTTTAGCACATGATACACCCACCGAGTTGCAGTCAGAAAGCAATGTACAGTTAACTAGCGGACATGCCCGCCTGCTTTGGTCGAATCACTCAGGTGGCAATGTTAGAATTTTAGCTCATCCACTAGTTGATACGCGCGGATAGTTACGCAGCCGAGGGCTTTAAATAGGCCAAAACAGGAGATAAAACAGCAAAATATGCAGCTGAACCTCCATGAGAAGAGCATTTATGTAAATACATACATATATGCTTGTATGGTGCAGCACTTGGTGCAAAAATTTACTATTATATAAATAAATATGGATACTCATACAAGCATACAAATGTGTGCTACAAAGGTTATACTAGGGGGATTGATGATAGAAAAGAAACAAATTTACTTCGGCTGCACCGAAGCTGTAATACCCTCAACAAGTGCATTTTTTAAAGCATAAAAAGCAAAAAGTGTTTTGTCTTCATTTCGATCGGTCAAGGTATATGCCATCTATATGATTTGAACAATTTCCTCCGAGTAGAAACCGTTGACTTAGGCAATATACCCTGGCAAATTCCGTGAGGACTTCTCTTGAAATAAAAAAAGTTTTCCATACAAGGACTAGACTTTGTGCGATCAGTTTGTAGGACAGCGCGAATAAACCCGCCGCGCTACAGTGCGTGTACCCTGTTCAGGGTATAATAATATAAATAATTATGCTTTACGGTACTAACACTTTATTTGTTCGTATTGCTTTGTTAAAGAGAGATTTATTCTAACGCATTTTGGAGTGAGATATTAGTAATAAAATAATTCAAGAGAGTATATTTTACAAGGCGAACTCACTACTTGTAGGTAATGGTCGCTACCAAATGAGTATGGGAAGAGATTGGACTTTTAGAAGAATATGGAATGAAATAGCCATATTCGAGAATTGAAAGTTATCTGTTAACCTTTAAAGGAAGGTGACTGATTGTGGTTCAAATGGCACAGTATAATCCGACAGGACTCTAGTTTGCTCATGGTCCCATTGCGACTTTGTAGGCGGATTCCCCGAAGTCCCTAATCTCTGCCAAATCAAACTTTAAGAGGTTTAATAACTATTGTGCTTCTATATGGACATTTGCTTTGAACTGCACTATTTCTGCAATGTTTTTACTCCCAGTTATGATTATACTATTGGGTATGCGTGACAACACATGTTAGTGCAGCGTTGCACCGCAGCTGCCGCTCGTTTGTTTGACCATCTGGTATAGTATGTTCGATTCGCTACTCTCCAACGCTTATTAAATTGTGAACAGCTTTGCAATATATCCTCGCTACAAAAATTGTACATTGCTTATGTAGACTTACATATGTAGATACGAAGACAGACAGCACATATTTACAATTATAGCTGGAAATGCCTCGGTCGACAAATGACAACAATTTCAAAATTAAGCAACCTGAGTTAAGTGCTAAGGCGTGAAAGTTAAAAAATTGCGCCTTTTCAAAATTTCCAAAAAGAGAAAAATAATAAAAAAAAACCGATCCACCCTAATGCAGCCCAAGGCATTGTAAACAGGTATTTTTTGCGTCCCTTATAAACTAAGTACGTACGAGTGTACTAAGCTACACCTGAAAGGAAAAAACATGTTTTGGACTAGTTATTGTTATTGTTGATGCTGTCGCCTGTCAAGGCTGTTATATTTTGCATGAAAGCTTGTTTTCACCTCTATGCCCACTCAGCGTGTTTATAGTTTCGCGTCGCTATTTGCTCCTCACTTTGAAGTGGTTTATTCAAGGCTGCCAAATGCCACAGCCAGAAGGATGTAAGCAAATGGCGGTAAAAAAAAATGCAACAAAGACAAAAATGGAATAAGAAAACAGTGATTCGAGCACATAAATGCAAGCAGAGCGCACCGAAGACCGTCTTTACAGCATATTCGCTTAAATTTCTAAATCGCAAACAGGTTGAAAGAGTTCAGAAACTGATTTGCACCCTTTCTCCAACAGATTTTTGTCACAAACAGCAATGCAGTTGTTACTCGTGTAAAGGATTCACTACATTTGCCACTAGCTGATGTTTATTTCACTTTTTTTTTTTTTTTTTTTTTTTTTTTTTTTTTTTTTTTTTTTTTTTTTTTTTTTTTTTTTTTTTTTTTTTTTTTTTTTTGAAAATTTTTTACTTCACTCGAAGAATCGCAGAAAAGCTTCACTTCAATTTCACTTGAATATTTTTCAAAGCTGACAGAATTTCAAGCGCTCACAGCGATTTTCAACACTAACAAAAACTCATTCAAATCACAAGCGATGAAGAGCAGCGTAAAGGTCTAACTGAACTCCAAATGCTGAACGCTTGGGTGAGTAAGTGCAGAAGTACCTGCGTGTTGGCGTTCCAAAGCAAGGCAAAACAACACATCGATGCGCATACTGCTGGTTGTGCACTGCGTATGAGCAATCACGGAAGCTACGCTTAGGCACGCCACTAAATGCTGCATTTAACGCTAACACAATGACAGCGTTAAATGGCGTACGCATAGCGTTGACGACCGCGCCACCCAGCGCATTATTCGAACAGCAGACCGCAGCTGCAGCTGATTCAGTGCAGTTGCATGCATGTGTGGCGTTGTAAATGAACAGCGCCGTGCAAAACAAACCCATTGGCAGCGACATCAATTAATGCTGCAGCAGCGACCCATTTTCGGTTGAGTAGTCTGCATGCGCCCGAGTTTATACGCGAGTAAGTGGCTGTGTATGTGTAGGCATGTATCCAGCCACAGAGGCCTAACAATAGTTGCCTTTGGCATGCTACCCCATTCAACCAATCGACTAACCAGCCAGTGGGATGTAACAGCTTTGTACATAAGGCGCTTCCGCTGACTGGCATGCAAGGCTCTTATGTGACTTTACACACTCAAACACATATGTATATGTATCTAGCCATGCATATATGTACCCCTTTTAGATACTCTTAGGAATAATGACTTTACTACTGCACACTTATTCCCGACACAACACCCGCATGTCACCTCACCGCTCTCGGGTGACGTGGCGCTTCCGCCGCACACTCTTGGTGATTCTTGTGACAGCAATTCAACAACCCAACTCCACCGATCAGCGCATTACCCACAATGTCCCTGGCAACCACATCAACAAACACTGAAGGCAGCGGTCGAACGGCCGCTTTTGTTGTATTGAAAATATTTTATAGAAAATTATCAGAAAGCACTAACAAGCTTGTCGCGTGCTTGTTACATGTGTTAACATTCACACGTCAGCGTTGCGGGGCTTGACAGCGTGTTCGGGGTGCTGATAGCGCGCAAGGCACAGTGGTTGCCACATTCGCTAGGGTTTTCTGTTGTTTCGCTTTTGTGAGCAACATGTCGGCGCGGGGGTGGGCAGGTTTTGAGTGCGGCCAGGGGAGAGGACGAGCGGAAACATTTCAATTTCTGTCTACTTGTTATTATAGCATAATCGCAGCTGCCTGATAGAGTAAGGCAACAGGCGCATGAGACACCGATTGCCATATACATACATACTTCAACGATTGCACATATGTATGTATGTATG